TTTATTTAAATAATATTTTTACCAAAATATATTATTTTATTTTATTTAAATAAAAAATTAAATTATCAAATAAGTCAAAAATCCAGGTGAAATGTCAAATCCCTTTGCCATAGCATGACATGGCAGTATTTTGCCATCCAAGCAGCTATGCGGGGTGTGTCCTAAATGGCAGTTAACTCAGGCGAACTGTCCCAAACGGCAGTTAAATTGGCGTAAGAAGAAGGGCTTATATGCATCAATTAAAGTCTAGGGGATTAATAGCTATTCTGGGATTAGTTCAGGGGCTTAACTTATGGTTTTGCCATTATGAAACGCGACAGTCTCTTACTGCTAAAGTCTATTTCCATTATTAGTCGCGACAGTCTCTTACTGCTAAAGTCTATTTCCATTATTAGTCCTTAGAAAATTCAAAGTCAGCAACTTGGACATTTAGACTTGGACGTTTTCCTCAGGTTGTGGGAATCGAATCCTTTAAGTTGGCTATTATGTTATCATGTGTTTGGGTAGCATGCATGTAAGGTGTTTGATTTTTTGCCTCAGAGAAAGACCCAGTTTGAATTAAAACATGAAAGCATAGAATCGGGTTTGTGCTATCTATCATAAAAACATAAGAAAAGGATCTAATATTCTCCTGTTCAACCTAGGATGTTAAGAACAAAGCTTGTAGGAGCAATGGGCGTAATGACCCTTGCTGTGTCTCTATTTCTTGATGCTTCAGTTGCGCAAGGCCAAAACAAGCCCTGTGCACCTTCTTCCTGTGGAAACCTTGGTATCAGTTACCGTTTTCGTTTAAGTAGCGACCCTATGGAGTGTGGTTACCCAGGGTATGAATTAGTTTGTGAGAACAATCGCACAACTTTCCTCACCCAATCTGGGAAATTCTTCGTGGAGGAAATAACTTATGATGGGTATACACTTCGACTGATGGATGCTAGTCTGGATCTTCATAGGATTAGGTTCTCTATCCCTCGTAATTCCTTTCTAGGTAAAGGGGATTTTGAGAATAGATAAGAGACCTATTATAACTCCCTTTCAACAAACTAGAAAAAACTAGAAATAAATTGAACCAATGAAGTTGAGAAGAACAAGAACTGAATTAAAAGCATGAAATAGCTGCCAAAGGATTCAAGAAAAGTTCAGTTATCAGACTTGGGAAAATGTTGATCTACTGGAATACAGATAAAACAAAATCAAAAAAATAAAGAAGAAAAATTCTTCTTGTAAAAACATTCTGTCTTTGCATGATAGCTGGTTCAGTTGATACAAGTCTTTTTAATGATTCTATGTAACATTCAGGACTCGATATTGCATCTTTGCTTTGATATGGATGAAGGGATAGGAAAAGTGGAAAAGAACTACTTGGTTTACATTATATAGTCCAATTATTTAGGGAAAAATAGTTATGTTGAATTTGAATACGTTAAAGTATTTTATTCCAATTCAGAGATAACTGGTAGTTCTCTATTATTTGGTTTCCTAGGGATGTTGGCACTCGTCTGCACTGCATCTGCATGGCTGAAGGGATTTGGTGGCACTGTCAAACTGTCTACTTCTCCTTCCAACATATGAATCGCAGCTTTCATTGATGGACGGTCTGCTGGATACCACTGAATGCACCAAAGTCCAACAATTGCAAGTTTTCTTGCTATCTTGGCATGCTCTTCATTTTCTATTCTAATCCTCAGCTCTTCTCCTCTGTCCAAGCAATTATACACCCATTCCGGAAAATAAACTTGGCTCGTACTCCCCACTGTTGCATCAATATTCTTCCTCCCTCCTACCATTTCCAATAATAGCATTCCAAAACTATAAACATCTGATTTATGTGTAACTTTTCCGAAGTTTCTAGACAATACCTCAGGTGCAATATATCCCATGGTTCCTCTAGCTGCTGTCATCGAAACAGCACTTTGTTCCTTAGAACACAGTTTTGCTAGACCAAAATCAGATATCTTTGGATTGAAATTTTTGTCTAGCAAGATATTGTGAGGCTTGATATCAAAATGAAGGATTTGCTGGTCACAACCATGATGCAAGTACTCAATTCCTTTGGCTATCCCCATAGCAATATCTTGAAGCTTCTCCCAACCAAGGTGGTGATCTTCTTCTTTAGCTACAAATATGAACTTCTCTAGGGACTCATTTAGCATGTACTCGTAAACAAGAGCCCGCTTATTTCCATCAGCACAAAATCCAATCAAGCGAGTAACATTGACATGGTGGATTCTGCACATTGATCCCACTTCGTTAATGAACTCCTCACCAGTTGCGTTGAAATTGTTGAGGACCTTAACAGCAACCAAAACATCATTGGAAAGCCTTCCTTTGAAAACAGTTCCATAGGCCCCTTCTCCTAATTTGTCCTTGAATTGATCTGTTATTCTCTTGATGTCAGCGTATGAGTATCTTGAGGGCTTGAGCACTCTATAATCCTCCAAAAACTTTTCAATCTTGAACTGGGCCTCTTTCGCTGCTTTAAGTGAGCGGTGAATACGATAAAGTCCAAAGAGAATCAATCCAAGAAGACAGGGGCCTAGAATTATACCTATAGCCAATAGAATTTTTCGCCTATCTGTAAAACATAGGAAATTTAGCTGCTTCATATATGTTCCTCAAATCAATACCAATGTAATATGCAAAACATGAAAAGCAAGGTACAATAGCCTTTTGGCCAGTGGTCGGGGAAAACTAAATCCTAAACGAAACTCATCTCTAAGAGGAAAAAGAACAAACATCGAAGCAACACAACAACTAAGGCTAAATCAAAGAAAAACAAATAAACCCAGTGAGCAATGAGGTCATTGATAACATTTGGAAATGCTAAAAGCATACCTCTTTGTTTCTTGGTGGTACCACAACACTCTATTTCGTCCTGTAGGTTATCATTCCTCAATTTGCATTTCCTGCCTACTGCTTCACATTTTCTGCAGTTTGGTTCGGACCAACTCAAGTGAACAATATCACCTGTCTTGTAATGCAACATATCTTCATCTACTGCTATATCAGAAATGTTCAGCAATATTCTGCTGCAATTCACCAAGCTGAAGTCAGGTGAAAAATCAGAAGGTGTAGTTAGAACTTGGAATTCTGGACTGCTTAAGCAAGGAATCTTGTTTTGTTCGTCTTTGTATTCATAAAACCAATTTTCCTCCCTTGAACAATTGAAAACAGTGTATTTATGTGCGTAGTTTGTTGTAAACTGGAAGGGAGATGCAGATAAATTGAGATTGGGAAGCTGTAGCGGCAGACAACCTCCTGGATCGGATAACTGAATCGTCTGTGCTCTATAATCTATATGCTTCACCACCAACTTGACATTCTGTGGCAGTTCTAGCACCATCTGCTTTTTGTCCATGTAGGATATATCAAACCCGGGATAGCCACAGAGGTCTGGTTGCAGCCCTTTTAGTCGGAAAGGGAAACGGATGGTTTGGTGTTTGCACCTTTTCGTCTGGCATTTTTGCTGTGCAGCTTTGAGTTCTGATACATTTGCAATAAGGAGAAAGAAAAGGAACAAAGGCACCACCTTGAAGAAACTTTCCATTCTCAAAACCAAAATCCACACACAGAATATTGAAAATGGTAAAGAAGAAGCTCTTTACAATAGGTTCTGCAAGTGCGAAAAGTCAAGTGGAAAAAGTCGGAATTGCTTGTCAATTGCCACCCTGCTTTGATTGAATTTCTTACGTGGAAGAAAAAAAATTCTTTCTTTTTTTTTTAGAATAATTTTTCCAAATTCGGACGTAGCAAAAACGTTCATATTGACAAAAATGTCATTTTGCCCCCTTAAAGTCTAGAGAATTAACATTTGAGACCCTGCCTTCTAAAACGGTAAAAAATGGCACGTATCGGTATCACACAACTCCATATGATGTTCTCTATTTGCATACTACTGCTCCTGAAAAAGAAAAATCCCTCTTTTTTCTGTGCCTTCTTACGACGTTCAACGAGACTAAAGCGTGAGTCATGCGTTGAAGACAACTCAAATGTGACCCAAAAATCATGAAAATAACACTAAACTTTCATTTCATCAACCGTAATTGGTACAATAGTTTGAGATTAAATGGGATTATAATTACAAATTGCTACAAATTACTGTTTTATAGAACTTTTCATTCAGCTTCTGTTTGGTTTAATTGATAAAAATAAATGATTGTTGTAATTGTTAATTGAAAGTTAAAATTGATATCTAATATCTGATATGTAATTTGAAATTAACTTATAGAGGTATTTTTTTAAAATAAATTAAGAAAAAGGTGAAAATTAGAATTTTTTAGTTCTTTAAATATTAAGATTTCTTATGAAATTATTCAAATACTCTTAATAAATCTTCTTTACATGTCAATTCATTAATGATATTTTAATTTTTTTATTATTATTTCTAGTATTTTTACATGTTACTTTATTAGTTGTTTAAGGCTAAAACATCTATAAAGTGTCATTATCAAACCAAACCAAACAATTCTTTATTACTACAAAATAATTGCTTAATTGTTATTGTCATGAAAATAATTACCATAAAATCTATTAGAAAATCTAGGGCTAAAAAGAGTTCCTCAATTTTCTCCTTGAATTACTCAAAAAAGCTTGGGAGCTAATTGTTAGAAATATATTCGCAATGCAGTAGATCTAAATTTACTGACTTCCAATTATTATTGTTTAAGAATTAATGCAGTCCAAGCAGATCACCTAAAATCTTTAATAAACATTTTTTTCGATTTAAAATTTGTCTTAAAATAATAATTATTTTTTTTATATTTTAAGGAATATAGATATTTTTTTTACAATTTTAGCCTTATTATTGTCTTTTGACTTTAATTATCTCTTTTATCTTAAAGAAGTCTCTTTTATTTTATTTCAAGTGTAAAATATGTAAAAATAAAAATTGGATCCAAATCCTTAATCTAAAGATGAAATCAAACTGCTTCTATTATTTCTAGAACGAAAGGAGTGTAAGCTATTAATATCAGCCAAACCAAACAATGCCTTAATTATTACAAAGTGCTTACTTACTTCTTATGATCTGATTTAATTGTTTTACTTTCCAAATAGAAATTATCTGATTTAATTGTCTCAATTTCTATTTTAGTAAGATATTACTAAACACTACTAATATTTCAATTGACAAAGGTGATTTTCAG